TAATTACCATTTCACTGGTGAAGTATTTCACAAGATGTTCATCATTCTTAGGCGACTACTTCAATCCTTTACTGACATTTCGATATACATTAGATATCTTCACATTCTATTTTTGATATGAATATAAGATTTTACTGATAATGTTGTTTCAATTAAATTGAAAAAGCTCCGCGCATCGTTTTTTTAGATTAGAATACGCTATTCTTTATGATTAAAAGTATTTTCTAGAATTTTTGCCGTATCTATCTAACAGAATCGCGCAACTTTATTCGTTCTATTCTAGCTACTTAATTTTGAAATAGGTTCCGTAGTTTTATTTAAATCATTTAGTGATGAATAAATTTCACATAAAACAAAATCATGTTAGCTCTATTTTTTACAGCAGCAGCTGATAGGTCAATGACCATATGGACAACACAAAAATAATAGCTCTTTCTATATTTTCAATACTTCTTTCTCTTAATAATTAGACTAGGCCAGGCTGTTTCCGTTTTCATTCAACGACTTCCTTTAAAACTCTATAGAATAATGTACTTTATTCATCATTTATACTTATTTTTATCGTCCGGTGCACATCAGAAATTTGATGAACTTGACTGCGTAATGCAAAATATCCTTTTTATAAAAATTTTCACAACGCATTTTGAATATTTGATTCTATTATTATCGCGCAAAAGAATGACGAACATATGTAATTCAAAGTAGTTATTTAAAGAGAAAATGCGCCTATAAAAAGCCGACTCAAGATATCAGTTACAACATTCTTCTGATGAGATCCGGATGGGATTAGACAATTACAACACCCACTGAAAATGGTAAAAAAAATAATATTTTCTAGTGTGCATTCAATTTGATCTGACTTTTACGAGCCATACCCCACAATAGAAGTGACTGATATTGATAAGTTAGATTTTTTATATGATCCAATAGAGTTTTAATTCAAACATAACCATGGTCAATATTGAGGAAAAATGATATTTTGAAAATAGCAGGTGTCGTCTATACAAAACTCGTTAGTTTCAGGTTCGAGGAAATTTTAAATCTGTTTAGCTCAGTTTTCTGAGAGTATAGTCGAAATTGGAGTATTCATTTTTTTTATGTAAAATATTTGAGATAGCACCAAAAATATTGAGAGAATATACTGAGCCAGATATGTAGAAAGGAACAAGTTGAAAGGAAAGAATATAGAACAAACACTGAGGTAGAGATAAACATGATAATGTGATATTAAAATACTTTCGAATCGACATAATTATAACGGCGTGAAACAGTCACAAATGATGTCAAAAAATGGTGCGTCCTGTAGGCATTATTTTAGAATTTTCAAAAAAACCATTTTTCACTGTTCGAAAAAAGAAATCATTTTAACGATTCACAGATGAGGCAGTTTTTGGATATTATTTGTGACCGTGTCGCACTATTTTTTTCTATTGCGATTTGAAAGCATTTTAATGCCATCTTTTTCTCTGCCTGGGGACTGTCATATCCTAGTTTTCAAATGGAGTACATTTGAGTTGCATATTTTTTTAGTATAAGATACGTTGTAGAGGTACAGAGCTTTCTTTAGAAAAACCGCTCAAAAAAAATTTCTTTTCTAAAACAAACACATTTTCACAATATAAACACTCACAGTGAAATGATAACTTTAAAATCAACTGTAATTTATATAACAACGCGACATTTCCAATTAAGACATGCTAAATAACCAAACTAGCTAGAATAAGTTTTCTTTTATACAACTATACTTTTCTTTAACTCGAA